ATATAGATATATATATATATATATATATATATATATATATATATATATATATATATATATATTAATAAAAATATATCAGTGACTGTGAGTTTTCCAAAACTTGTCATAAGAATATTTTATCAGTGTTAACCCCACCAAGAATATTTAAAAACACTGAACCATGTGTTCATCTTTAATGGCTGTACTCCTAAGATTTACAGAGGAACAAATCGTGAGAATGAGTTTAGTATTCAGCTCTGACTGATTAAACGCGCAGATAGCAATAGCGGTCAATGCTGTATCTAGTGTTTATATATATCTATGGGGCGCACACCCCAAACACTCATACTGTGGTCAACCACTAGGGGGCACCACTAGATGTCAGGATGTTTTGCTTTTAAAAATATGTAGAAAAAATTACATATGCAAAATGTATTTTTTTATCAGAGCTTAAAATCAATCAACCTTTATTTATACAGGTAAATCCCATTGAGCCTCGAGGACTCATTTACAAGAGACCTGATTTCAACAAAGAAAGATGACAACAATGGACAACAGCAACAACAATAAACAGTTATAAAAAAGCGTACTACAGTTTTGTGTTTTTTTGTTTTTTAACAAATAGGATGGCTAAAAGGAAAAGGTAACACTAAAAGGAAAAGGTAACAAAACAAAAAACAGCAAGATTCCAAGACAAATGTAGAAAACTAACAACAGAAAAAGTATGTTATTCAAAGTGTTTAGCATAATTTTGCTGTTGTTTATGTGTAATGCCATAATAAATGTATGCTTATACTGTTTAAAAACGGCCTCTGTTTTACACAATGTGGTGGGTTGCCAGTTGGGCTTGTTTTCATAGAGCTGGTTGCTTATATCGCGAGATCTGGCAACACTGCCCGCGAGCCGCTTGTTGATGATAACATGGCATTAACACTGGTTTTCCTTCAGTGGAGAACTACGCATTAAAGGAATCGCCCGGCTCAGTAATCCGAACATGACTTTGACCCATTTGTCCTGCCTGTGTCCGAACACGTCCCGCTGGAGTCACGTGATGCTGCTCCGGTTCATGCGAGTGAAGATGAGAGGCTGAGTAAATGACGGAGAATGCTGCCCCAGTTGTCTCGAGACTCTTGGTTTTCTGTCCGTCTCGTCTGTGGTGGAACGTGTCCCAAGTGGGTCAAGGTGGGCCCACAGGCAGACCCCCCCCCCCCCCCACACACACACACACACACACACACACAAACTGCGTGTTTGAATCCACCATGTGAGGGATGATGAGTGGATCAGAACACGGTACTCACCGTCCGGAAAGCTTCGGCTGAGTTTTCACGCAGGACGGGTCCATTACTGTGCTGCGAACAGAACCGACACCTCAGCACGAGCATCCTGCGGGATCCCTCCTGCTCGGAGGTGCTGCTGATCACTTCCTGCTCAGGAATGATGCTCTTAAAGAAATCAGGTTCACTCTGCTGGTTTTAGATAAACCATTGTTTTGTTTTATTCATATTGAACTGCGATCAAATCAAACATGTTGCTTAGTTGTGCATTAAAAGGATATCCCAACCATTTAGAAGTGGGTTCTGTAGAAAGTTATGAACAGTTAATATCTTACCTGTCGTAGGATACGTTCACAGAGGTGGCAAAAACGGCCCACATCTTTTTCTTTTGCCCATATTTGTCCCACATAAAATATTAATTTAACGACAAGCTGTACAAAACAAATTATTATTTTCTTCAAATCTGACCCAGGTGGGGTTTTTTTTACATCCGCTGCATATCTGATGCTTTTCAAAGCAACCTCAACACTCATGTCTCATTTCTTACGTTACATCAGCGAGGTGGGTGTGTGGATCAATGCAACTCTTCATAATGTTGATACCAGCACCATGCAGCTGAAATCTGAACGCTGCACTTCAGCTCTTTTCTTTCCATTTCCTGGATGAATGAGACTCTACAGCAACATGATACAAACTATATCAAACCATATCAGTTACATAATGGCATCAATACTTGAATTAGTTTCACTTTCAGTGTTGCTCTCTGATTTTTGTGTATATGGATGTGTGTTTGTGCCTGCTTGCATCAAACCTTCAAAGATGCTGTGAGAGCAAGGAGAATATCTTTGCAGATTAGATAATTAATACAACTGTAAAAACATGCAGACGTTTGATTAAATGTTCCCATCAGAGACAAATTTTCCAGCTTCAGACATCATGAATATTAATGTCTCCACACCTCACATGGAACAAAGTGCTGCCCTGATTCACAACAACATTCACCAAGTACGTTGTTTGTGGTGCTCATAAAAAAAAAATAAAAAAAAAACATTGTGAAGATGTTTTAGGGCTGTTTCGATTTGCTTATTTTTTATCTAATTCTAATTGACAACAAAAGTAATCTCAGTGCACTAAAATAAGAAAAAAGTCATGTTTATATCAGTTTAGTCCCAAACAGATCCAGATTCAATTCAATTATGACACTGTCAGATTTTGCATGTTACAAAATGGGAAAAAAGTAAAAACAAGTCTATATAGGAAAACGTATAGTTTGCATTGAATCTTAATTTAAATCTGAGCCAGCACATGTGACAGCTGAAAGGAATGACTCTCTTTTAACCACGAAGCCGATTCTCCAGTGCAGCCCTGTTTGTCTGGAACTCTCCTCCACGAACAGTAAGACAATGCACTGATCTTTACACTATCACATTTATTTTCAAAACAGTATCTGTATCAGTCCGCCTGATCCTCTAGTCATTCTAAAAGTTTACTCAACTCATGGCGGACTGATAAATGTGCAGCATCAGCACATGCGACATCAACATGGTCTATCTTCAGCGCACGCACTTGCACAGTAACACTGGTGTCATTCAGCTGAAAAAAACAGCGACAAATTGAACAAACAGTGTCGTGCAAAAGGAATTTCAGGAAACAGTCAACAAATATACAATAACAACTTAATCATCTTTTATAGATCCCTAATCCAAGACCATAAAACACATGCAAAAAAAAAAAAATGGCTGTAATTATGTCACTTTTACAGATACTGTGCTAAAATTTGACGTAGTTGTAGTTGGAACAACAGCACATACTCAAAGTGCCTCTCATCATGTAAGACTTTTACCTAAAACTGCATCACCTGTTGGAGTCAGTTTGCAGTCAGCAAAACAGTAAGGTGGCCGCCATGGCTAATTAACATTAGCAAACGCACACGCACACAAAACGTCTTAACTCAACTAATTTTATAGATATTGAGTTAAAATTTGTTGTGGTTTGGGAGAGTCATAACATACACACACTGTAAGCGTGACATCTCACAATAAACGAGATCACACATGTTATTTTTTTATACGTTGAGTGTTTTAGCTGTACATCATGCATGTTTATATTATATGGGTTCAAACAAAACGACTTATAATATGATAAATATTCTATTTGAAAGGCAGCGATGTGCTTTAAGAAATACCAAGCCTTTATTTGGTTTTGCGAATAAATAATAAACATTCTGAAAATTTCATTCAATCTTTATTTAGACAGGTTAATCCCATTGAGCCTCGGGGACTCATTTACAAGAGAGACCTGATTTCTTAACGAAGAGTGATGACAACAGTGAGTAACAATGACAACAATACACAGTCACAAAAGAGGCATACAATATTTAAATTTTATTTATTTTTTTAATAAAGTGAGGTTTTACATTTTATGACACTGTTGATACACAAGAAGTTATTTTGCGCGTTAAAAAGTCTACTTTTGCGTGAATCCCCCGCAGCCAGATGTCAACAGCTGTAACAGCGCGTTAGCTGGGCTGTGACGTCACAGCCCGGGGTTTCCTGGCGTAGTGAACGTACACCGTCATGGCTGGGGCCGGTTGTTGTTGCTTTAAATGACATTTTTCTTCTGTCTTTTTTTAAACCGCTGTTAAACCTACCGACACGGGCTTTGTCGCGACACGGCGGATTTACCAGACTTTTCGACGGAGAGGAAAACCAATATTCCACAAATTGTGTCGGATTTAATGTGTCGGAGCTGCTCTCCCTGACCGGGAGCTACAAGCTAACAGTTCAGCAACGTTAGCTACATGCTGCTGCCAGAGCGTCTGCTTGAATAAATAAAGGACTTCTGAGGTGGGAAACCTTACTCTGACAACTATTCTTGTGGACGTCTCACTGGGAACATACAAAGCACAAGGTAAAGTTCAGCGTGGAGCTTATAAATGCCGATAAACCAGAAAGTAAGCTATCGTTTGCGTGTTGATGTGTTAAAAACCGCGAGAAGTGAGCGGAGAGAAAGAAAACAAGATGGAAGAAGGTGAAGTTTGGTTAGCTCATTTGCGTTTACTAATGAGGTTGACACTTGTGCTCTTCTGTGCGCAGATATTTGCATAACTCATCACAGTTAGCGACGAAATGCCCAGGATGACTCGTAATAACAAAGTGGTCAATGTGTTCGTTCCACAATGGCACAGAGTTGGTCATCATGCTAGCTTCCCTACTAGCCTCGTGCTTCATAACGTTAGCCAGCGTCACTTTAAGGGCTAATTATACGATTTTTAAATGTTTACTTCATTCACTTGGACCTAAAATAAAGGGAGCTGTGCGACGTTGACTAGTGTTGCGGCCTATTAGCGCAGCGCGGTTTTTCTTGTGTTGTGATTTACAATCTAGCCCTAATAATCCTGGCTCACCGCATACAAGCTAGCAAACAGCCGCTGATTACAGATCGAAACCAGTTCAGCATAACGTGGCGTCTGTGATCCAAGTCTTCAATGATGGACTGTAGTTTAGATTGTTGCTTATTGCATACAGTCTGAATACCATAAGTCTGGAGCGTTGGCAATGTATTCATACATTGTTTCTCCCCCGCCAGAACAGCTAGTATTGACATCAGTAGCCGGCGTTAGCTAGCTAGCTAGCTAAGCTAGCCACACTGGAGGATGCCATCCTCGTTGTGCAAGGTTACTAGTACATGGTTGATCGTATGGTGTTCAAGTCGGGGTTTTTTTTGTATTCATGGATTTTATTTTATTATTTTTCGTGACTGTGGAAGTGTCAGGTGCTTAATTGTAGGCCTTTAGGCCTTTGCGGTGCTAACAGATGACGCTCGAGCTACATCCAGGACTGTTTGTTCTTATTGACTTGAGCAATAAAGACTGTCTATGTATGCTAAACTATCAGGTTTTTTCATACAACAAACAGTCTAGATTACTTTTATAATAACTATTTTACATTTTTACACATGGAAAAATTTTTTTTGTTTTAAACTTTACACAATTTTACCTTTTTCCCCCCACAAGAAACCAGCCATTGATTGATTGATTGAACTTTCATTGATTCAGGGCTCATTATAGGTGGTCAGCAGTGGAGTTCTGGGCTGCCAAAATATTTTGCTTTGGTCTATTTAAACAAGTATTTTCAGGCCTCTCTTGTAAATGAGTCCCGGAGGCTCATTGGGATTAACCTTTATAAATAAAGGTTGAATGAAACTTGTATTGTTACTTTTGCCATGCTGTGCTGAACTGTACCAGTAAACTAACCAGTCAGACAGAAAAGACTAGCATCACTTACTTGATTCAACATTTACAACGTTTTATTTGTGCATCTTTCAGGGAAACCTCTTGGAACATTTCACTGCCGGTTCTCAGGTCTGTAGTTTGGACTCTACCATGGCCGGACGCAGTGAAGATGAAAGCGTGAGCAATAGCAGTGGAGAATCAAGGTAAAGGGATTGTGTTGAAGAGGGTCGCACACTGCAAACACTATGATCTCATATGCAACCACTGTTTAAAAGCGTGCAAGTCTAAAATTAATAATGCAACATTCATGGAAGTAGAGATTTGGTGGATTTGTGACAGGGGTTGCTAATAGCCATCCATAGTGGTTGTAAGTGTTAATTTCCTTTGATTCGAACTGCAAGTTGCCTGCCTGCAGTGTTTCAACTCATTCATGTTGAAGCATGCAAGATTATACAAACATTATTACACATTTATGTATATGTGTATATAAAATTGAATATGGATGGATTTCTGATCTTAACACTGTGTTCTGTTAGAAATTAGAAGGTGTGGAGATGTTAATATAGGTGGATGAAACAATCATTAATTGGTAGCAGATATTCTAAATGTATGAGTATGAAGGTAAGCTTGCATGGCATTGTATATCCAGTAATATGAACAGACTTCTGTTATATGCTTTGATTTAAAGAAAGGTGTAGACATGACTGAACCACAGCATTTATTTTTAAATAGTTGAATTTTTGCCTTTTACCCACAACAGTAATTCCGATGATGAGTCCGGCTCCCGTTCAGGCTCGGCCTCCGGTTCCAGTTCAGGTTCCAGTTCCAGCTCCTCCAGCAGCAGCAGCCGATCAGGGAGCAGCGACTCTGGAAGCGGCTCAGACTCTGGCAGCCAGTCAGATTCTGACACGGAAAAATCAAACGAGAAGGCCGAACCACAAAATAAGTCAAACATCGATGGAGCAGAGGTAAAGTTATTAAAAAGTGTCAGAGTTACCAGAATGCTTTGATTCAATTTACTTGGTGATTTTGTTTGATTAAAAAAACAAATTCCACTTTAATGAGTTAGTCCATCTAAACATCAGGTAAAAAAAAAAGTCAACACAACAAATTGTGGAGAAATCAGCTTCTTGGGTCAAAAAGGACCCAGTTATAAAGAACAACTTTTGTTCTTTGCTCTCCAATGAAACGTGAAGTATTTGATTTTTCAAAGATCAAAATTTTTATTTCTAAATTGCTTACTAAAGCATTCAATGTTCTGATCAATTAAAACCCTTTTCACCACATTTTATGTTGCAATTTGTTAATATTTATAAAATTTCACTTTAATTGTACAATACTTTTTAATATTGTTTTGTTCATAGTCCAAAACAAGGCCTGGTCAGAGATGGGTTTTTAAAAAACTGTCAAACAAAACAACTTTTAAAAGACCTTAAGCATTATTTTTATTGTTATCATTATTACTATTATTGAAATAAACTGTTGTACAGTGTTGTTTGGCATAGTTCACATATTTATTATTTTTTTCCCCCAATAATTTTGTTGTAATTGGTAAATGGACTGTACTTGTATAGCACCTTTCTGTCTGATCAAGACACTTAAAGCTCTTTACAACATAATCTGTGCCTCATTTATCCGTTCATACAGCACTCTACTAGATCTATACAAAGATTAATCAGAGCTTTATCACATTCATTCACCGATGGGACACACATCAGAGGCAATGAGGGGTTCAGTGTCTTGCCCAGGGACACTTCAGCATGTGACTGCCAGTGGATTCAAACCCCCAACTCTTACACTGAGGACGACTGCTCTAACCACTCAGCCACAGCCGCCCACACAACTGTAGACAGGTTTAACTTTTGTTTAGCTTGGACTCAGCTGATTCTAATACAGATTCTTCAGCTGGAATTGTGTTTAGTATAAAATCCAGTAATACAAACAAAAGCTGAACGTTTATTTGAAAGTGCAGAAATCATTGGGTGCTCAGTTTTTCGGCACCAAGTTTATCGTGGGAAAAACATGCATGGTTACAGGTTTCTGCTACTGTCTTGTCTTCAGCCTGTTGACATTCACCATCAAGGAAAAGTGTTCATGGTTAAACATGAAACATGGTTGTTCATCAGGGTCGTAGCTCGGTTCTGTAACCTGATCTCAAAACTCTTGTCTTTATTACTTTGTGCCTAAAAGCACTAACATGCTGTGGGCATGATACCCTTGTTCTAAGGTTTTTATTTCATTTTTGGTGGCGTACTAAACTTGTGCTTGTGTCTGCGTTATTTGTTTGCAGTTCTGGAAGTCCAATCCCAGCATCCTAGCAGTGCAAAGGTCTGCTATGCTTAGGAAACAACAACAGCAGCAGCAGCAGAAACAAGAGTCTTCAAATAGTGGCTCTGATGAGGTTTGTGTCTGACTGGTCCCCAGTTTTTGTTTTTTGTTAATTTCTATTATTTTCCATTGAAGTAGTCATTTATTTATTCATTCTTGGACCACTACCTCTGAGTGACAGTGATTCAAGCTTTTAAATCGTTTTTCACCCTTTACTGCTTGATAAAGCTCATGAAGTGTCTTCAGAACAACAGGCTTGTTTCTTAAGTGGCTGTTGAACCAAAAGTGGTGTGTGCTGAGCTCACTGCTGAACCCAGCGGTAACACTACAGATTACCAAGAAGTTCTGATAAGCTTATAATCACTCTATAGGCCATGGGTCACTAACAAAATTCACTCTAAAGGCCACAATTTTTCTTAGCATACCTTGTGGAGCTGAGCTTTTGATGTGAATAATAATAAATACATATAATAGGAACATAAAATGCAGGAAACATTGTTGGGAAAAGGAGATTAAATGTATTTTCTTACTCGTGGGAGAAAAACTTTAACTCAAAGAGCCTCAAATGCAAGTTGGCCTTAAAAACTACAACTTAGATGAATATGAACACTCGTCACCTCACCTGTGGACAAGTAGGGCCGCCTGCCAGTTGACGTTTACTTCTCTTAGCTGTTATTCTGTGATTCTGATCATTTAGAAATTTTACACGTACCTGAAAGCAGATGTACTCATAAACAATAATTTACCATGTTCATCTTAATTAATCACAGTTAATCTGAGCAATTTAAATATGATTTAGGGCTGTTGTGTTATTTTATATTACTTTTTAAAATAAAAATAGCCTGTTCATGTGTTTGAGATGAAAAGTTTGTTTTCTGCATCTTTTTCCATGGGCCAGAGGTTTGATACACATCTGGAGAGACTGGCACATGTTCTTCCAGTGAAGCTGTAGCTTTGCTGTAGTTATTGTTCTATCTTTAATCCTTTTCTATTAAAACTGAGATTGGGGGGGCAGATGTGTCTACACTTTTAGGTTCTTTGTGATGACATGAAAGCAGTGTTGTGGTTGATAAACAGCTTGGTACATCACTGCTACTTCCTGTAGCAGCAGTGTTTTATGGTCTGGTGTTGGTGGAAAAAACAGATTGTCACTTGTCAAAATGTTTATCACATCAACGTCCTTAATCCCCACCGTTTGGAGGTGCTGTCAATTTAATCTGAGAATTTTTGTTTTGACCCTGGTGGTTATCTTTTCCAGGACTCTTCAAGTAGTGATGAATCTGAAACATCAAGTGGGTCTAAAAAGAGAAGAAACTCTGACTCGTCGGATTCTGGATCAGGCTCTGGCTCTGGGAGCGATTCTGGATCAGATTCGTCAGCAGAAGACAACAGCAATGAAACCGCATCGGATTACGAGCCCAGTCCCAAATTCAAACGCAAAAAGCCTCCAACCAAGTAAGTGCACAGACCTATAAATGGCTGCTGCGATAAATAACCGTGTTTCCCGCACTTAAAGGCTTTTTCTACTAAAGCGGTCGTAGCACTGGATCAGAGCTGGACGTTGAGCCGGATATTAACTGGTTAACCATTTCTTAGCAGGGTTTATTATTATCTTTATTTACATGTTCCTCCAGTATGAAGAGGATCACATTTCAGGGAAAGTGTTTGTACAGATCACATAATTAATTTTGTTACAAACACGTGAACATGAAGTCCTTTTTTTATTTTTTTAAAAACACTTTTATCCACACAGGTTTATAAAAATGTTTATAAACAGTTTTAAAAATAAAAAATCTGGGCGTGATGGTTGATCCTCTGTTTAAATTTGATACGCATGTTAGTGCTGTTATCAAAGCCAGCTTCTTCCAGCTGAGGACCCTTGCAAAGATGAAACCTTACCTTCCTGGGCCTGATCTAGAGAGGGATATCCACACATTTATTTCATCGCGTCCCTCTGTCTGTGACGCTCTCTCAGTCACTAGATCAGTTTAAGTCCAGACTGAAAACACATCTATTCTCCCAGGCCTTCACTCAAATTAGTACCTGATCTACTCAAGTTTTGGGGAAACTGCAGCGAATATGCAATGGCTGTCTTGGTTTTTTATTAATACTGTTGTTTTATTGGTATTTTACTGCAAATTTTTATTATACTTTTATTAAACAGTTTTATTTTGTTTTATCTACGGTGTATTCTTGTGAAGCACTTTGGTCAGCTGCGGTTGTTTTTAAATGTGCTTTATAAATAAACTTTGAATTGAATTGAATTGAAAAATGTAATTTATTAGTGCAGTTCAAATGAGCGAACCTTAGCTCTGAGGTGCGTTCACTGCCATCATCATGACAGGACTCAATATTCGAACACAGCAGAAAGCGCTGCATGTTTTATAATTCAGTTAATATTTATTCATTTGCTGATTTATTTTAATATAAAGTAAATAAGGAGCATGTGGGGGAGTGGTGGCGCAGAGGTTAGAGAGAGTGGGCCTGTGATTGGAGGGTTGCCGTTCAACTCCCCGGACAGACGACATCAATGTGGGTGGAAAAGGTGAAACACCTACACCTGTCTCCACCCTCATTTGCACCACTCTGGGCCCTTGAGCAAGGCCTTAACCCCCCAGCTGCTCCCTGGGCGCCTTAGATGGTAGCCCACTGCTTCACATGTACAATGGGAAAAATGCAGATAGTTAATTTTCCCATTGGGGATTAATAGAGTACAATAAAATAAATAAATAAAAAGTGAAAAAAGACACATGCAACAAATCGCATATTATTTTCACATCGCACGTTTGTGAGAATTAACTAGATTTACCCTCTGTCTGCTGAATGAATTCACTTTGTTTTCTTATTGCGTCAGGATGGCTTCTCGAAATGGAAAAAACAGCGTCACCCAGAGGAAAGCCCCCAAATGTTCGTCTTCTGAGGATGAGCGTATCTACGCAAAGATGGCGTCTGCGGGGCCACGGCGGCAGGCCACAGTCAACGTTAGTTACAAGGAGGACGAGGAGCTGAAGACGGACTCGGATGATTTGGTGGAGGTTCTGGGTGAAGATGTCCCACAGCCTGAGGAAGATGAGTTTGAAACTATAGAGAGAGTAATGGACTGCAGGATAGGGAGGAAAAGAGGTAAGGAACGCAGAATGACGACCGATTTCATTTTCTGTCATTGGATCATGGCTCTGGACCGGATTAGTTGATGTGTAATCTGTCCTCATTCCAACAGCTATAGGGAGTGCAACCACTGTATACGCCATAGAGGCAGACGGGGACCCCAACGCCAACTTTGATCCCAATAAAGAGGCCGGTGAGATCCAATATTTTATAAAGTGGAAGAACTGGGCCCACATCCATAATACGTGGGAGACAGAGGAGGCACTGAAGTTGCAGAATGTCAGGGGCATGAAAAAACTGGACAATTTCAAGAAGAAGGAGCAAGAGAAAAAGAAATGGTGAGAACTTTTAAACCATCGGCCTCAAGCATGATAATCCTATGACCGTTCAGCTCTTTGTCCACGAGCCCGTTTGACTTTAAACAAACATCTGCAATTACATGAAAAACATTTTAAAATGTTACATTGATAGACTACACCGGGAACAATACATCGAATCAAACTCTTCTCATCCACTTCTTTCAAATTAAAATAAAGTTTATAGCAAAACATTGCCTTTCCATTAAAAAAAGCAATACTTATTGGAGCCCCCGTAACAACGGTTTAACTTCTTTTGCAGAAAAATATACAGATGTTTTTAACATTATTTAAGGAATCATTGCATAAATAAAAGAAAATCCTCATATTTTATCTTTTGTTCAACCTTAGGTGAGAATAGATCTGTTCTTGCAGATTCACCTCAGATTTTCATACAAAGATTACATTACAAGAAGAATTAAATTACAAGCACCGGAAAAGCAAACATCTATATACCTTATATATATATTTTATCTATATTGTATGCATAGCTTGAGGGTTCAGTTTGCAAAAATGGATGCAGGCGATGCAGTTTTAAAGCCTGTAATTTAATTCTTTATTTGAACTGAGGAAATGTCTTTAATAAATCGTAAAATGTTTTCAGATAAATGAAAACAAATCCATTGGTTTTAATAAAACCGTTTTGGATTTTCCATGTCGTGAACGAATGGGAATCTTCAACGTTAATAAATGAAATGATAAATAATCAAGTACTCTGTAATGCTTCAAACAAGTTCTTTCACGTCTTCAGGTTAAAGATGGCCTCACCAGAAGATATAGAATATTTCAATTGTCAGGAAGAATTGATGGACGACCTGCACTCCCAGTATCAGCTTGTGGAGCGAATAATAGGTAATGTTTTATATACAGTAGTTTACTTTGAATGTGTTTGTGTTTAAACTGCTTTACGTGTGTAACCCACTGCATGTCTGATTCTTCTGAGCAGGACATTCAAATCAGAAGTCAGCTGCTGGTTACCCAGACTACCTGTGCAAGTGGCAGGGGTTACCTTATTCTGAATGTAGCTGGGAAGATGGTGCTCTGATCGCCAAGAAGTTCCAGAAGTGCATCGATGACTATATGAGCAGAAATCAGTCTAAATTCATTCCAACTAGAGATTACAAGGTAACTCACTTCCTCTTACCCCCATGTCATGGCAGTGTGTAGTAGAAATGTAACGGAGGCTTACAAAACTCTAGCTCCTAAACTGCTGTGTTAATGTTTGTTTACGAATACCAAAGTTATGTGCTCGCCCTTCCAAGTTTTGTTTTCAGCTACATGAAAATAAAAAAAAAAAATCTTTTAATTTTTGAGACTGGATCGTGTTATCACTTCTAAAATAAACGAATGTCTTGATTTTTTGTTTTCTACACCTGTGTGCCCATCAGCTGTTGAAACAGAGGCCCAGGTTCGCACCCATGAAGAAGCAGCCAGCTTACGTAGGAGGTGATGGACTGGAGCTCAGAGACTACCAGCTGGATGGTTTAAACTGGATGGCCCACTCCTGGAGCAAGTATGGCTCAACTGTTATTATACTCTTTAAAATGTAATTTTGTGGAGAGAGAGAAAAAAAACACCATTTAGTCAGAGTTTCTCGTCTACTAGTTAACGGTGATCATCCAGAACTATGTGAAAATTGTTCATCTTATTGTGCCACCTAACAGTGACCCAGATGTTTAGTCTGCAAGTAAACATGTCTCAAACTTATTTCTTTGAAATTTGAAGAAGAAAAAACCCGATGATAATATTTTAACGCCTTTGTTTCCCAGTCTTCAGTGCAGAGGAAGGAGACTGTTCACAGAACTGTAGACCAACAAGTTGTTTTGTGTGCATGTGCGTCCAGTTCAAAATCTGCTGCTGCTCAGATGGCTGAAGAAGTTATATTTACGTACTATAGAAAAGTGTTTGAACGCACCGTGCATCACAGGTTGTTGCATTTGAGGCTGCACACAGATCAGAGTGTCCATGCGGGTTCTATCAAAAATTAACCACAGAAGAATGGTTAAAGGTGTCCCTATCCCAGTGCATCTCGTTTTCTTTTACTTTAAGTGAATGGTTGGGTCTCAAAATGTTACTTATGTGGGAAAGATGTTGCTCTAAGAGAGCACACCAGTCGGGGCTGTGCAGTTTTCTGCTGAGGATGCTCCAGTTGTTGATGATGATGATGTTATTATTGATTAAACACACTCTTATAGAAGTGTTACCTGATGACGGTATGTTTTCAGATGGATTTTGCACCCTATCTGCAAAAATTGTGGGAAAAACGTTGGTGAAAAGTTGAGCTAATATTTTTCTTAATTTCATAGAGGCAACAGCTGTATCCTTGCTGACGAGATGGGCCTGGGGAAAACCATCCAGACCATCTCCTTCCTCAACTATCTGTTTCACGAGCACCAGCTGTACGGGCCGTTCCTGCTGGTGGTGCCCCTCTCCACACTAACCTCCTGGCAGAGGGAAATCTTCCTCTGGGCTCCACAAATGAACGTTGTGGTCTACCTGGGAGACATCAACAGCAGGAATATGGTATAATAAGCACATTTTACAGAATGAACCGTTAAGATTTTTATCTTTCTTGTTCGTTTTGTTTTGAATTGAAAATGTGTGTTTTTAATTAATAGATTCGAACTCATGAGTGGATGCATGGACACAGCAAGAGACTGAAGTTTAATATCATCCTCACCACATACGAGATCCTTCTCAAAGATAAGGTCAGCAGCTTTTTTTAGTTTTGACGTGTATCAAAGAGTTTTTCTCCAGATGTTTTAAGTAACGCTCTATTAAAGCTTTGCACTATGATCTCAGCACTAGTGAAACTTTGAAAACTAATACGTGTTAAAATTGTCTGCAGTCATTTTTGGGCAGTGTTAACTGGGCCTGCATTGGTGTGGATGAAGCTCACCGACTAAAAAATGATGACTCCCTCCTCTATAAGACGATGATCGACTTCAAGTCCAATCACAGGCTCCTAATCACTGGAACGCCACTTCAGAACTCCCTAAAAGAGCTTTGGTCCCTGCTGCACTTCATCATGCTTGAAAAGTAGGTTGTGTAGCGATAAATGTGGCTTATAAATAAATGATTGTTTGCCTATTATGAGTTAAGCTCATAATATGTACATTTGTAAATAACCTCGTTTTTTTGGCACCACCTCCGAAGAGGAAAATCACTCTCTCAAATGTAAAGTGAGTTCTTCTTGTGCTTAGAGGTCAGATTAATTAATACACACGGATTAAAATAAGCACAGGTTCAGTTATGATTTTTATGTGTTTTATTGTAAAAATACTATACCACTTTATTTATAAAGCACTTAAAACAGCAACAAGGCCAACCAAAGTGCTGTACAGCAGAAACAAACAAGGAAAGCACACGGCAAAACATAAAGTAAAATAAAAATATAGATACGAGTAGCAGAAGATAATAAATGGCTAATAATAAATATAAAATATGATTGTATAATATTTTATATTATTATTATAATACAATAAATCTTATTATAAAATAATAATCTATGATATGGATAGTGAAACATATGCATGATAAAAGGTTACCGAATATCAAATGACTAACTCAATTGCCTGATCGATTATTTAAAGTTACCTGAAACTTAAAAGGCAGACTTAGCACTAGTTTATCTCTGTAAAGTGGTTAAATATTTCTAAAGAGAACTAGGTTTCAAGTCTACTGTGTAATTGTCGTGAGATCAGCATGACCAGAAAAGCACTGGAAAAGCTTTTGTCCTAGTGGGATGCGACAGTCCCCACTTGAGTCCAGGGGCAGGTGCGTTCAACCAGCCAGTTACTTGAGGTGGACGTCTCTCCAAGTGGGACTGGTGGTGTTTTGAAAGGTAGATTGTCCACCTTCTGCTGCGGCTGGCTCTGTAGTGAAGTGGCTCTCAGCAGGACGCCAACATTATTTCAGCCTGGTTCTGGTAACAGTTATGAGCCCAAACTGGTTCTGATGAACGCTCAGGTGCTGGAACTCATCAGCTTTATCTTTTCCTTGAAATCTTTCCTGAAAGTTGAATAAAACTTTTAACGGTTAGAAAATCTTTGTGCTCCATCTTTTCCTTTCGTCTCATTTTCTCCCTTGAGACGTGTGTCCTCCACTCAAACCTGAAGTGAAACTCAAGTCTCTGTTAAACAGACTGACGCCTGGTCAAGAAAGGGGTGTTCCCGTTAACCTTTGACCAATCACAGCTCAGAATTCGTTCAACACCAGAGGATCTGTGTTTTGATCCTGTATGCTCCACACTGGTTCTATTTCATCCCTCCTGACCGCCAGAGGGCGGTGCTGAAAGCACTGAATGTTCCCTTCGCGCATGCGCTGATTCGAGTAATAATACCAACGGAGTCACAGGTGTGACACGGATGACCAATCAGAGGCTATATAGCCCGACGTCATCCGCTGCTCTGCTCCTATTTTCTTCTCGCGCGCGGTTCAATTCAGGGCTTCAGCCCTTTGGACCTTTTCTGAACTTTTTACCGTCGTCGGAAGCCCGACTGCCCGTCTGCGGGAGTAGCGTGTTCGCCCTCCTAGGGCTGCGACGGTTTAACCCTGTTCAAAGGTATTTCTGCTGTTTCGTTGGGAACTACGGCTGTTTCCGCCTCTCCCAACTTACAGCGTCTGACTACTATGTGTGTGATTCAACACCGGTGAGTAGTTTTCCTTATATTTCGCCGTTGGTTAGCGGTAGCGTTCGCTCCGCTCACGCTTGTTAGGAGACCTCCAACCGCGTGGTCGGCTGGACTGTGCTCCGACGTTGTTTATGACTACTATGTGTGTGATTTAACACTGGTAAGTAGTGGTTTTTTGCTTATATTTTGCTATTTGGTTAACGGTAGCGTTCGCTCCGCTCTTGTTTACTGGAGGCCTCCAACCGCGTGGTCGGTTGGACCGTGCTCCGAAGTTTGTTTATTACGTAGCCAGCTGAGTTTCTGGCCTTGTTTTATTTGGTGAAGGCGAGTGTTCTCACCCCCTCTCCCAATTGTCCTCTTACCAGCTGAGCTAGTGGTGCTAGCTTCTCTGAGTTCTAACCTTGTTTTCATTGGTGAAGGCGAGCGTTCTCACCCCCTCTCCCAATTGTCCTCTTACCAGCTGAGCTAGTGGTGCTAGCCTCTCTGAGTTCTAACCTTGTTTTATTTGGTGAAGGCGAGTGTTCTCACCCCCTCTCCCAATTGTCCTCTTACCAGCTGAGCTAGTGGTGCTAGCCTCTCTGAGTTTTCACTTGTTTTAATTGGTGAAGGCGAGTGTTCTCACCCCCTCTCCCAATTGTCGTCTTTTACCAGCTGAGCTACTGGTGCTAGCCTCTCTGAGTTCTAACCTTGTTTTATTTGGTGAAGGCGAGTGTTCTCACCCCCTCTCCCAATTGTCCTCTTACCAGTTGAGCTAGTGGTGCTAGCCTCTGAGTTCTAACCTTGTTTTCATTGGTGAAGGCGAGCGTTCGCGCCCCCTCTCCCAATTGTCCTCTTTTACCAGTTGAGCTAGTGGTGCTAGCCTCTGAGTTCTAACCTTGTTTTCATTGGTGAAGGCGAGCGTTCGCGCCCCCTCTCCCAATTGTCCTCTTTTACCAGTTGAGCTAGTGGTGCTAGCCTCTCTGTGTTCTAATCTTGTTTTCATTGGTGAAGGCGAGCGTTCGCGCCCCCTCTCCCAATTGTCTTCTTTTACCAGTTGAGCTAGTGGTGCTAGCCTCTCTGAGTTTTGACCTTGTTTGATTGGTGAAGGCGAGCGTTCGTGCCCCCTCTCCCAATTGTCCTCTTTTAACAGCTGAGCTAGTGGTGCTAGCCCCTCTGAATATCTTGGGCATAGCTGGGTAAGGAGCATGGACGGCTCTCACTGCTGTACAGTCTGTGGAGCCATGCTCCAGATAGATGACGGTCACGACCTGTGTCCTGCCTGCCTTGGACATGACCATCTGGTGGATGCCCTGTCAGAGAACCCCTGCATGAATTGCAGCTTCATGTCGCATGCTGTGAGGGCGGCCCGGCTGGCCCAGTTTCGCCCCAAACTCGGCGATGACCTCCCGCCTTCTGGGCAGGAGGCTCCACCTAGGCGCTCGAAGCGCCGGACTGAGGCCGCAGTTTCTGTGGCCCCTCCTGGGAAGAAGCGAGCCAGGTCTGATAGGGGCCTCTCCACAAGGGTGGAGCAGCTCTCCGCTGAATTAGCGGAGATGAAGTCCCTTTTTCAGGTACACCAACTGGGAACTGAACCAGTGGCAGCAACTGGACTCTCCTCCCCACCCATGCCTGAACTGGCTGTGGAGGAGGATGTGCTATCCTTGGCTGCCTCTGCCTCTCACTTTTTAGGTGAGGAGGACGGGCATTCATCTCGAGTCTCAGAGACAGCTTCACTCTCTTCTTCTCGGAGTGCAGTTAGTGGGTCGGGTGACGGCTCGATGCAGGACATTATGCGTATGGCCCTGAGACAACTGCAGCTGGACGTCCCGCAACCAGAGGCGTCCACCCCTGGAAGTGCCTTCTTCAGGCGCGGACTGACCCCTCCTTCCTTTTCTGTCCCTCCATCAGAGGAGTTCCTGAGGGAGTTGCATGGTTGCTGGCGGGACCCCAAGGCCTTTGCGCGCCTCTCTGCAGATGGCAGAGTGTTGGCGGCCATGCATGAGCCGGCTGCAGCAGGCTTGGATCGCATGCCAGCGATAGAACCTGCTGTTGCCTCTCTCATCGTGTCACCAGATGAAGCTCTGCGCAGTCATGTTCGGTGCCCACGAGCTCAGTGTCGTGTCACGGATGAATTCCTCTGCAGAGCCTATGCCGCCGGAGCGCGTGCTGGCCGCCTAGGTAATTCCTTGGCACACCTAATGCTTGCCCTCTCCGCGTCCCTTCAGGGGACTAGTGGTGCGACAGCAGCGATGGGCTTTAACGATGCAGCGCTTCAGGCCTTTGCACTAATGACGAGGGAGCTTGGGCGTGTGATGTCCTCCTTGGTCCAAGCTCGCCGACAGGTCTGGTTAGCTCAGTCAGCGTTGACTGAGCCATGCCGTAGAGCCCTCCGTAATGTCCCAGTGGTGCCGGGGGAGTTGTTCGGTTCGGCTGCCTTGGAAGCACTGGAACGGACTGTCCAGGCACGACAGAGAAGGCAGCAATTTTCGAGCCTTAGCAGGCCAATGCCCCCTCCACCTCCTCGGCATCCAAGGCGCCTGTCGGCTGGCTCCAGCATGCAGCCGCCGCCTGGGGGTCATAACCGGCCGGGTGGTCCTTACCCTCATGCGGTTCAGCAAAGGCCCAGCAGGAGCTCTCGTGGGTTGGTCCACCGACCAGCTGGGCAGGCTCGGACCAGGGACTCTGGCTGCCGCCCCCCCACGGCCCCTAGGGGTCGTGGAGGGAGACGGTGATGCCATCAGGCCGACCGTCGGATATTTCTCCCACCAGCAGCTCAGCTATTGGGTTGCTCACGCCGTGGACCCATGGGTGGTTGCCACTCTGACCCATGGTTACCGGCTACAGTTCCGACGGCGGCCTCGTATCTCAGGCCGGGTCAAGATGACTGTAATCGCCGACCCGGTGAAAGCTCAAGCACTAGACCAGGAACTTTCCGCCCTCCTGGCCAAGGGCGCAATAGAGGCAGTGGACCCTCTGCAACAACCCAGGGGCTATTACTCGACTTACTTCCTTGTGCAAAAGAAGACGGGCGGGTTTCGTCCCATTTTAGACCTGAGGGGACTCAACCAGTACCTAAAGGAGCTGCCCTTCCACATGCTCACAACAGCAGAAGTCCTTCAAGCTGTCACAAGGGAAGAATGGTTCACGTCTGTAGACCTGAAGGATGCATATTTTCATGTGCCTATTGCGGCAGAACATCGCCGCTTTCTCAGGTTTGCCTATCGGGGTCACCACTGGCAGTTCCGGGTACTTCCATTCGGGCTCTCTCTCTCCCCAAGGGTGTTCACTCGGTGCGTGAAGGCAGCCCTCTCTCCTCTGCAGGCCTGCGGAGTGAAGATTCTGCCGTACTTAGACGATTGGCTTCTCTGCGCCCCGTCTCAGGCCTGTGCCTTTCACGACACAAACCACCTGCTCGCTCATATGTCCCAGTTAGGCCTCAATGTCAACCTGGAGAAGAGCTGCCTGATCCCTTCCCAGACGACCACCTTTCTTGGGGTGGTTCTGGATTCATCTTCAATGAGAGCTCGCCCATCCGCTCAAAGGGTGGCCGGCATACTCCAGCTGGTCAATCGGTTCAGGCTGGGCAAGCAGCTCCCCTATGTTGCCTTCCTGCAACTACTCGGCAAGCTGACATCAGTCACTCGGGTGGTGCCCTTAGGCCTGCTGTCACTTCGCCCCTTGCAGAGGTGGCTCAACAGCTTTCGCCTGGATGCCAGGCTGCACAGGCATCGCAAGCTCGCAGTGACGTGGTCATGTCTTCATGCCTTGACTCCATGGAGGGACGAAGATTATTTGTCCAGGGGTGTCCCCATGGGAGTGGTAGTGTGTCGCAGGGAAGTGGTCACAACGGATGCCAGCTCCATGGGATGGGGGGCTGTATGGCAACGCAGAGCGGTTCAGGGCCGCTGGGGTCAAAGAGACCATTCCAAGCATATAAATGTGCTGGAGCTGCGTGCAGTGCACTTGGCACTCAGGCACTTCCTGCCTCACCTGGAAGGGAGGCATGTACTTGTTCGGTCGGACAACACCTCTGTTGTCTACCACATCAACCATCAGGGGGGCACCAGGTCAGCACAACTTCTGAGTGTGTCCAGAGAGCTCCTGGAATGGGCCTCTCCTCGCCTGTCCACCCTGCGGGCAGCGTACTTGCCAGGGCGACACAATCAGGTCGCAGATTTTCTCTCCCGCCAAGAGTCCCCTCCGGGAGAGTGGTCCCTCCACAGAGACATAGTGCTGATGATCTGGGACCGTTTTGGTCAGGCAGAGATAGACCTGTTTGCGACGGAAGAGTCGACTCAGTGTCCCCTATGGTACTCTCTTACGGGGGCGTCGGGTGCGCTAGGCCAGGACGCATTGGCTCATCCTTGGCCAAGGGTCCTTCAATATGCCTTTCCACCCCTTTCTCTAATTTGGCCAACCCTTCAGAGAGTCCTCGAGGAGGGCCACAGGATGCTGCTGGTGGCTCCGTATTGGCCAGCGCGACCATGGTTCCCACTGCTACGAAGTCTATGTCAGGGCGTCCCATGGTGTCTTCCGACCAGAAGGGACTTGCTGTCTCAGTTGGGGGGACTGATATGGCACCCCAATCCTCAACGTCTTCGGCTGTGGGTGTGGCCACTGCAAGGCTAGGACAGCAGCTGACTGGAGTTTCGAGCCCCGTCAGACGCACCATCCTGGGCGCCAGGGCACCCTCTACTCGTCAGCAGTACGAAAACAGGTGGCGCCTGTTTTCCCAATGGTGTTCGGATCACAACAAGGATCCAGTCTCCTGTACAATACCCACCATTCTGGAGTTTCTCCAGTCTCTACTTGGTAAGGGTCGCTGTCCTTCGACGCTTAAAGTTTATGTAGCGGCAATATCATCTAATCACACTGGCATTGATGGCTGTACGGTAGGGAGCCATAATCTAGTCTCTCTTTTTCTGCGTGGTGCCCGTAGGTCACACCCGCCAACAGCTCCACGAGCACCAGGTTGGGACCTTCCCTTGGTTCTCGAAGCTCTGTGCCGTCCTCCTTTCGAGCCTCTGTCGCAGGCGGACCTCAAGTGGCTTTCATGTAAGACGGCTTTTTTGTTGGCTATTACCTCAGCAAAGAGGGTCAGCGAGCTACATGCTCTCTCAATCAGCCCCTCATGTCTCAGGTGGGGCCCTGAGGGCTCGTGTGTTACCTTGTGGCCAAACATTGCATTCGTACCAAAGGTGTTGTCTCACTCTCACTCTAACCAACCGTTGAGGCTGGCACGTTTTCAGCCTGCACCTGGTGAGGGGTCTGCATTATTGTGCCCGGTAAGGGCACTGGAGGCATATGTTGCAGCTACTGCCGTGATAAGACATTCAGACCAGCTGTTTGTGTGTTATGGAGGCCCTAGGTTAGGCTGTCCTCTTTCCAAACAGCGCCTCTCCCACTGGATCGTGGACGTCATCTGCCACGCCTATGCTGCAGGGCCCGGCTCCCTCCCGGTCGGCTTGAAGGCTCACTCTACCAGGAGCGTCTCCGCTTCCTGGGCTGCCCTGAGAGGGGTTCCGCTGGAAGCAATACGTGCTGCTGCATCATGGGCTTCCCCAAGCACGTTCACCAGATTTTATAGAGTTAACGTGGCCACCCCTCATCCCCTGGGCCAGGTTCTTCTACAAGGGTCCTCTGGGCCTCCTCAGTGAGGTAGGTGTTAGGATTCCTTGTGACATCGTTGATATTAGTCATTCAGTGCTTTCAGCACCGCCCTCTGGCGGTCAGGAGGGATGAAATAGAACGAAAGTTACGTATGTAACTACGGTTCTATGAATCCCGGATGACCGCCAGAGCTTCTCCGTCACTCAGAATCCTTGCGTTTCGCGAGAAGATTCTGTAGGAGCAGAGCAGCGGATGACGTCGGGCTATATAGCCTCTGATTGGTCATCCGTGTCACACCTGTGACTCCGTTGGTATTATTACTCGAATCAGCGCATGCGCGAAGGGAACATTCAGTGCTTTCAGCACCGCCCTCTGGCGGTCATCCGGGATTCATAGAACCGTAGTTACATACGTAACTTTCGTTTGTCATTATCTGCATCATTTTTATGTCTATATTCTGATTTACTTCATTTTGTATTTTGCTTTGTGTGTTACTTGTTCTGTCCGTACAGCACTTTGGTTGGCCTTTTCGCTGTTTTAAGTGCTCTATAAATAAAATGGTATGGTATAGAATTCAGTTTTAGGCGTTTCTGAAACTTGGATCTTGTTTTCTAAAGAGAAACTTATTAATCTACAATCCTTGTTCTGCCTTTATTCTTTCATTCTAGCAGAAAAATAAGGCAAAGTTATATTACATTATATTACAGTTATATTTCATTCAAAATATGACCTATTTGAATTAACCTTAAAACATGCAATGTTTTACCAGAGGGGTCACTGTTGACCGTCCATCTCCTAAAAAAAGGAATGTAATTAGTGAACCAAAAGGCTCTTTCTTTGTCGTCTTCACGAGAACAACAGTTTGGGAAAAGTACTCCTTTTCGATAAGAGAAGATATCAAAGACTGCAAGTTCGGATGTTTCAAAAACTCCAAGATTGGTTATACAAAGTTAGTTATACAGTTTTATAAGAAGGCCTTGGGTTATTGAGTTTGTGTCTGGCAGGTGTACAGAACAACATCTTATTACACTGTTATTAACTTAGAAAATTTGTGAGCTGAAACGTAGAATATTTTATAAAACATGATGTTTGTTCAGAACAGAATGGACGAGTCTTATTTGAACAGTTTCAACTAAAATAAAAGCTTTGACTCAGTGTCTGAGGTGTCCCTCTTTCAAGGTGAGGCGTGGCTCTACCGTTGTATCAACTTTAATAAAAAGTTTGTTTTATATATATATATGTATGCATTACTACCCCATGCTAATGTGTGTTGTGTTCTCTTAAGATTTCACTCTTGGGAGCTCTTTGAGGAGGAACACGGGAAAGGCAGGGATTCTGGTTACACTAGTCTCCACAAAGAGCTGGAACCGTTCCTGCTGCGCCGTGTCAAGAAGGATGTAGAAAAGTCTCTTCCTGCGAAAGTGGAGCAGATCCTCCGAGTGGAGATGAGCGCGATCCAGAAACAGTATTACAAGTAAGACCAGCACTAAACCTCTACATGTAGAAGGAAATCTTTATTCTTCACTGTCATGATATAAACGAGGAGAACCTCTAACAAAGTTCAGTCTGGTCCTCTGGATGGGACTTCACTCTTTTTTTTTTAGATTTTTGGATTATTGATCATGCATCAGGATATTTTAAACGAGGACAGCGTTTTCTGTCTGACAGGTGGAAATCGGCCGATACGTGCATGAGAAACCGATTTTACCGTTTTTTTTGTAGTTTTAACAACAACTGTCTGAACTTCATTTATATTTCAGAGCTCTTCCTCATGGCCAGTTAAAACAAGTTTGTATTGTTTCTAGGATATTGTTCAAGGGTCTGTTTTTCAATAAAATAAAATTGGATAATTGAAGGTGCGTTGTCACCTAATAACACCTGACAGTGTTGTTTATAAAACAAAATCGGAATCGGCAGGTCAGACTTTTTAGAAATCTGTGATCGGAGATCGGCCAGAAAACTGCAATCGGTGCACCCCTAGTGCGAGTAGTAACACTGAAGATAAATTAAATATTTGTATGCCAACAATGTTTTTTTGTATGTGATGTTAAACACTGCTAATCAGTGAATTGTTGTCATGATCAGATGGATCCTGACCAGGAACTACAAGGCCCTCAGTAAAGGTACCAAAGGCAGCACGTCGGGCTTCCTGAACGTCATGATGGAGCTGAAGAAGTGTTGTAACCACTGTTACCTAATCAAGCCTCCAGATGATGACGAGTCTCTCAACAAAGCTGAAGCTTTACAGGTCTCTAAAATGTTACCATCAGAAACAAATGGAATAATATTTTAGTGTGTTTAGTTTAGCTGTTTTCCACAAAGTCACGTTTAAATGTTAACCTAAACAACAGAAAGTTGAAAAACAGATGTTGATATTGTAGTGTTTCCCATTAGGGGTTGAACGAGCATATAATTTTTAAACTCGACATTAACATAATAAAACCCGAGTAGAACTCGAGTATTTGATGACGTCATAGATCTCAAGATACAAAAATAAATAAATAAATAAAACCGCAAAAAAAGATAATTATTTACAACAAAAAAAGACCAACAAAACACTGGGAGCGTATATTATGCTCCTACCATTTATCATACTGCAAATAAGTCACAGGAAAAACTAAACTATTAGTTATTATTATTAAACTGCAAACATGAAGAAACATGCAGCACGTCAAAAACAAACTTAAACCGAAACTGGTTCTGGTTCGGTGCATTGGACCCAGTGTTACACCATACTCTGTGACCTGCAACAGTGCAACACCGCCCCCTACGGTCATACGTGGTCACATAATATGACGTCACTACGGATACTCGACGTTACATTTTTAACCTCGATAGATGTTCTAGCAATCGATGTGTAGATTACTTGAGTACTCTGTTAATGCCCTATTTCCCATCGCATTTCACTGACTGATTCTGCCTTGGCTGTGTACCTCATACTCATAAGGATCTTTAATAGCTGATGCCTAAAGCGACATATTTATCATGGTTTTACTGTAATTGTTCTGATGAAGGTTTTATGAGAGTGTTTTAGTCTTTTATGTGTACAGGTCCTTCTCAAAAAATTAGCATATTGTGATAAAGGTCATTATTTTCCATAATGTAATGATAAAAATGAAACTTTCATATATTTCAGATTCATTGCACACCAACTGAAATATTTCAGGTCTTTAATTGTTTTAATACTGATTATGGCATACAGCTCATGAAAACCCAGAATGCCTGTCCCAAAAAATTAGCATATCATGAAAAGGTTCTCTAAACAAGCTATTAACCTAACCATCTGAATCAAGGACGTAACTCTAAACACCTGCAAAAGATTCCTGAGGCTTTTAAAAACTCCCAGCCTTGTTCATTACTCAAAACCACAATCATGGGTAAGACTGCCGACCTGACTGCTGTCCAGAAGGCCATCATTGACACCCTCAAGCAAGAGGGTAAGACACAGAAAGAAATTGCTGAACGAATGGGCTGTTCCCAGAGTGCTGTATCAAGGCACCTCAGTGGGAAGTCTGTGGGAAGGGAAAAGTGTGGCAGAAAACGCTGCACAACGAGAAGAGGTGACCGGACCCTGAGGAGGATTGTGGAGAAGGGCCGATTCCAGACCTTGGGGGACCTGCGGAAGCAGTGGACTGAGTCTGGAGTAGAAACATCCAGAGCCACCGTGCACAGGCGTGTGCAGGAAATGG